TAATGTGAGAAGATGCCTTATGGAAATCTTGCTTCCTTTTAATGTGTGGCCCATCAGATGAATTCCTCTTCTTGAGCTGTATTTCTAAATATCTACAGGCAACCTTTTTTTTGGTGACTTTACTGAACTCCTGTCTAAAATCTGTATTGACTTCAACTTCAACTCCAGCAGCTACTGTTGCTGATTCTCACATCCTTGTTGACAAATCCTAGGAGGGAGGGACTAAAGAACTGTATTGTGTTCTTGATAACTATGGACTGGACATTTCCAAGGTTGTGGTGATTGATGTTGATGTGTAGAAGAAAGAAAGGCTAAGGATAAAAACACAATACATATCTTTCTACAATCTCTAAAAGCTGTAACAAAATTTGTAATAACAATAGTAACAATAATAATAGTAAAAGGAAACAATTTTCTGCCATAACACTCATGTGAATTTTTGCACATACTTGTCAGCGTTGTATTATAGTATCATTGTAGTTTCTGTATACTTGTACTTTTTATTTATGTTCATGTGTACTGCAAGCACTAACTTGTACAGAGGCAATGTCCTCGTATGTGAAAATGTACCTGGCAAAATGACTGATTCTGATTCTCTCCAGGTTCATTATGACACCTTAAACTGTAACACCTATAATTTGGAAGTAAGAAATACAAGGTGGTTCTTCTCTATCATCACCAAAAATCAATAGTTATGGTCGTGCCTTGTTTGCTGCTGTCAACAGACTAACCAACCAACCAACCAACCAAGCCGTGTCAGTGCCTCCTTCAGGTACATGATATGTATTGTATAGCAAAGTTGGATCCTAATCAACCACCTAAATACCTGGAGGACAATATACAACATCTAAAATCCTCCTTCCGCTGCCTCGATACTCGGTCAACATGCTTTTTCAGAAATGTTTCTAACCGCATGGGCTCACATCTTCTGCAAATTGGAAACACATCTCTCTTCTCAGGTTTCTTCCCACAGGCTCCAAAAAATGTGTCATCAACAAGCATCAAGCCACTAATACAGAATAACAGGTCACTAATGAACAATTACAGACCCATATCAGACCTCCTCTTTTAAGTAAAATCATCAAACAATTTCCTGGCAACAACCAAATGTTTTGATGTCTTCCTGTCTCCTATGAAACTGGAGCGTAACTGTGGTGTGTACATTTCTGTAAATATAAAGCTCTGTGCAAAGACCTGCACATTCCTGAGCACAAAGACAAACTCCAGACAGAACCGTTTCCACTCAGGGGGCCCTGTTTTAACGACTTAAGTGCACGCCATGAAGGGCAGGGCGCAGTTGCATATGGGGCGTGTCCATCTCCAATGTTCAGTGCTTCATAGCGAAATGAGTTGGACAAAACTTGCTTTTCACATGATGTCATTTGATCTGAAAATAAGTTTCTTACTGCCATCCTTTACATGACACCACATTACTTCCTGACTTTTGTTTTTAAGCTGTAAAGCAGTAGTAAGTTGAGTAAGTGTCACATTGGTGGACATGTCACAATAGGGAGCTGAACCCAGGTCTCTCACACCAAAGGCATGCGTCTTATCCACTGCGCCATCACCACCAGGAAGTCTGCCATTTTGAATATGATGGAAATTTTTGCAGGATCCGTTCTTTAACAAACCTCCTGGAGAATTTGATTTGATTGACTGGCACTGGTGATGAAAAGTTGTTGTCTCGATGCTTCGCCACGAAACAGGAAATTGTTCTAACTTCACTTTAACTGCTAAAATCTGGACAACATTTCACGTGTTTGACAAGAGTCCCAGCCTGAAAACATCTACATGCCAATATCCATTCAAACTCACAGAAGCACCTTCTGGCAAAAGGAAGTGACCCTTAAACGAAGCAGCCCACCTTTGACCTACAAGCATGAAACATTTCAACTTAAAATTTTGGCTGTGCAATCTAACGACGATGAAAAGTTGTGCTATCTGTGAGTTTTCGTCAAAGAGCAGTTTCATGGTGCAGGTCTGTTTGCTATGAAACAGGAAGTTGTTTTAACTGCAGTGTTCATGCTCCAATCTCCGCCAAACCTTCCATGTTAGATAAGAGTGCCGCCCCGAACACATCTACGTGCTAATAACCGTGTTGTCTCTAGCGTCACGTTGGGGACACAGGAAGTGACGTTTAACTCCTTTGTGAGGCATCAAAAGGCCATGATAATTCAGAGCCGTGTCAACAACACAACAAGCCCCGACGTGCGCGAGGGCCCGTCCAACGCTGCTTGCAGCCTTAATTAGCATCTGTATTTGTTCAGTGGCACCCTGAATGTGCGGGGGTGAGACTATCTTTCTGTTGTCCTTTCTTACTCAGCACTTTTGAGTCTTATGTTCATACAATGTTGGAGAGCCTCCCTGATTCGCACACTAGACGGCCAATATAAACGGACTGCAACATTCTATATATGTGACTCTGGATGCCCTCTGAGAGCCGTCGTGGAGGCACAAGCAGCACATTTGATGTCTTTTCTCTTTTTTCTCTTTGACCTCCACAGTTTTGCCCTGAGAGGTCGGCGGGAAGGATCAAGCCGCACACACACACACACACACACACACACGCACACACACACACACACACACACACACACACACTCACGGTGGGGGTGGGGTTTCCTCTATCAGACCCATGGTAAACATGTCATAGATCTAGAGCTGTTAGAGAGGACAAAAAGACCCTCATGTAGGGGCAACGACAGGAATTTGTCATAGAAATAACATCTGTTCTTCTTTTCGTTTGTTTGGATTTTTCCCGTGTTTGTTATTTTATTTGTTAAAAAATACCTATTTTAAACGTTAACACTGTTTCTCTGTGGGGTTTTACGTGGGAAACTATTTGCGCAGACACAATTACTGATTATAATATCATTTAGGATTACCCCATGAGACTCTTCAATATTGATTTATCGAAAAAACTGCAGATATTCAAATTCCAACCAAAATATTGACACTTTTGTGTTAAACTAGGAAGGACTAGTGCCTTATACATGTAAACTGAAACATGAATTTGTTTTTCAAATCCTCTTAACTTGAAATGGAAAATTGTAAGTTGAAACAAAGGCAATCTTCAAGTTTTAGATTTAGATCTAGGCAGCAGGTGAACTTGCATTTCCAAGTTAAACTCACTTGAAATGTCTTACAGTGAACAGCTTATTTAAAAGTTGTTACTGTCAAAACATACAGAGCATGTGTGCACAAATGCTTATCTCATGACATCTTCTTATGTTTTATCTGAACAACTATGCTCTATATAGACTATAAATTATTTAGATTTTATTCTGCAAATATTATCTCTGAATTCCCACTGGGGATCATTAAATCTTGTATTATCTCATGTGTCTGCAATATGACTGGACCTACGTCAATGTGATGGCTGAACTGAGCTGCATGAGCTTAAAGAGAAAACTGTACAGACATTGCTCAGTTTGACCTCAGCTGCAACAGCATTATAGTAAAATCTTGTCACAGGTGTTTTTTAATCTTTGAAGTCTTCTAGCAACTCCATTCAAATATGTTTCCTATGTGAAAAACACATGAGTCAAAATGAGGAAATGTACTGAGATTGTACAGCGCAACAGCAGCGGCTGTGTTTTGGTTTTACACATTAACAGAACCTTTAATAACGCTTCAAGTCATTTTAGTGCTAATTGTTCTACTTGATGTATTTTTTTGTTTGTGTGACTTTCATGCCGGACTCAAAGTTTCAGCACACCTACGCCTTGACCACAATCCTTACCTCACCCTAAAAAAGAAGTACCAGAGCTCACCAGAGTCACACCAGCATCTGTCATGTGACCAGGCAACCAACATCTTGAAGTCGGGTGACAGTGAAGACAGGAGTGCAGTAATATTGTTTGAACACCGCAGAAAACGACAGTATATATGTTGTTTAGGTATGAGGATGTTTTGCACTAGAAAACAAAAGGCAGTGTATCCTCTTGTTTGTTTGACTAAAACTACTGTTCAGCTGTTTTGAAAAAAATTTAACTATATATTTGCTTTTGCAGATTTTCTTGTTCCTAATGAAGACGAACATCAGAAAGTATAAAGAGACGAAGTGAGAAATTCTTGGTTTTGTCTTTTTCATGGGATTTGTTAAGGTAAAGAAAAACATAGAAAATCTCAGCCTTATCTTTTATGTAAACTTCCTGTGTCATAGTTTGCAAGGTGACTGACAGGATGTGGGTCCAAATGCAAGACTCACACAGTGAGTTCAACCCACGTGTCCAAAATAATTCAACCACTGAAAAAAAAATCCTAACAGACAACAAAACACAACAGAAAAAATGCAACGGAAAGCCAAAGTTCAGGTGACAAACTAGAACTAGAACCAACTGGGGATTTCTAAACTTCACTAACCACCAAAAAGATCATTTCAAAAGAACACAGGAGTGTGCTGATACAAAACCACATAAATAGATACCAAAACCATGTAACCAGGAAAAGTGAAAAGTGAAACAAGAATCAGAATGCAGAGCAGACAAGGCAAAAATAATTAAAAACACAGACTCAGACCCGGATCGCGACATCCTGTCATCTTTGTATAAATCATCTAGACGGATCTGTGTTCACTTCCGCAGTCATATCAGACACTGAAACGCCACAATCAAACCATGTTTTTATAGAAAATGTCATTTTCTACATCGTTAAACTTCTCTCTTCAATGCCTCAAGTCCTGTCTTACTGTTCTATTGTGTGAATATTGCCTGTGTTTTTATAAACTATTATTTAAGATGGATCTTTTTTAAAGATTCTTTGTTAAACAAAAGTTAATAATTAAGTCAATAACTGAACTAAAACCCTAATAAATCAATTATAATAATAAAAATAATAAATCCTTTATGTAATTGAATGTGAAGCACTTTAAGGTGCAACTTGTTTGTGAAACTTTTTGTCCTCACAGTTGCATCACAGTTGACTCCTGTGTGTAGATTCCAGTGTTTGGCTGCAGATCAGTTCTGAGTGACGTAGCTCTGCATTCACTCTCACTCACATTCACTCTGTAGGCAGTTTATTACAGCACACAGGGCTGCACATCATCACACACACCGTTACCGCTTCACTTCTTCATCTCTGAGAGCCAAAAACTAAAGATGGGAAAAATTAACGGGTGCATCAAATGCCTCTTTATCTTCTTCAATGTGCTGTTTGCAGTAAGTAGAAACACTTTTTATAATTTTACATAAATTTTAGTTCAGTTTAGTATTTTTGTGGTTTTATTTTTATTAGTTTAGTATTTGTGTTTGGAGCAAAAGATGAATTGTTTTGTTAAAACACATCAGAGTTAATGTTAAATTGTTCTGAAACAAACAGGTGGATACGATCAAAGTGAAAGAAAATTGTAATTGTTTGATTATCAGATTTTACCAAACAAAAAAGAAAGGTGGAAAAAAGTTTAAATGCTTAAAAGAACATAAGATACAGGTTTACTTAGAAGAAAGATAAAAAAACAGACTTTAAAGACTTTAATAAACTAATAAAGTCTAAACTATATATAGTAAATATTGTCATGATGTTTGATTAAAATTGAAAGTAAAGTGGTAAAACGTCAAACAAAGACGTGAAGCATCAGGTTTCAATCATGCAGGTACAGATAGTTTTATTGTTCATAACAGTCACTTCCAGTAACTGAAAAAAAAAAAAAAACTCAGACAAAGAGGGGAAGGCATGGGTCATATTTCAGACAGCCCACCGACCCCCTTTTTCATCTAAAGCCTCATTCCTTTCTGCTACACAGACGAGACGTGTTTTCAACGCCAAGCACTGATGGAAAAAAAGAAAAAAAGAGAAGCAATTTAAAGAGGGTGGAGTCTGAGGAGGCGGTTTACAGTTTGAGGGACATTTGAGATGCATTTCATTTAAAAAAAAAAACAGCTTAAAAGTCAATAAAAATGAACCAAATGTCAATATGTGCAAGAGACTTTTGTAGACTAAATGAATGAAAACAAAGCTGAATCCCTTGAACTTTCTCTAATAGGTTTTTCCTTTTGCAATGCTTCAAAGAGGGCCTTTCTTTTGCCCACTTTCCCCACCCACACAAGGGCGGGAAAAGGTTTCGAGTTTCCATCTTGTTTTTCTCATATTTTAATTTTATTGTTTAATTAAAGCAGAAATATTGTGTTTGGCACAGTTCTTACAAATAAATCATGTAAGTGCAACATTATAGATTAAAAAAACATAAATTTGAATGCTTCCAGGTTGAGACGGTTATAGTTCGTGTGAGCGTTCTTGTGAATTGGAGAGCGTCTCTGGTGCACCGTCTCCCTCTACCGTCTCAGTGGAGAAATCTCTATCAGGAGACAAGGGAGACAAAATAAAAACCCCAGCATGCACTGGTATCAATGCAATGTCTGGATAAATAGAAATTACAGAGATAGTGAGCACACTTTTGATTTTGTGGAAATTACATATTCATGGGTTTAGTTATTTTATGCTCTGAAATTGAAAACATCTGAGAGTTGAGACTATTTTCCAGCCACTTGAAGCTTTTAAAGACAATGAAAAATGCATTATCTAAGTTATCCAATCGAGCGTCACTGTAAAACTATTTTGAACTAATGACTCATCTTAAACTCAGGGACAGTTATATAGATGTATCATCATGCCCGTTCGTTTGTGGGAAGTTAGTATAGGTGTTTTTGGATTTTAGCTGCCCATAATTTGAGGTTTAATAAATTACTATAAGTCTCCTTTCTGCCTCCTCCTGGAGGGGAGCAGTCCTACAGCTCCATCTCACCATGTACAATCGCAAACCAACCTATTTTCAAGGATTTGATTTAAATCCCTCTTGTAACTAAACTCTGCCCACACGTTTAGTTTTGTTCACAATGGAACTAAAGATGTGTCCCTGAGCAAGACACTTAACCCCTAGTTGCTCCAGAAGTGTGCGACCTCAATTGTAAGTCACTTTGGATAAAAGTGTCAGCTAAATGAATAAATGAAAAGATTAATATTTGTGTTACATTTCATGTCATTAAACAGTTAGAAATTGTATAAATTTAAAGTCTAGATGTTCTTCTTTAAATTCCTCTCTAGTGCACTTTTAAAGAAGTGTTTCTGTCATGTTGTTTTGGAAAGAAAATATTTTAAATTCCCTGCTTATGCCTCCTCACACTGGCTCTAGGAGACCCCGCCCCCTTTAAGTTTTATTTAAGTTAGAATCATTTATAATAATTTGTAAGCGATGTACATTTTGAATTGCTTTTGGTTGTGATAAGTAGATGTGTAAATATGTAAAGTTTCAAAACTTTCTTTGGCTGTAACTATTATTAATAATTTATTTATTATTGTGTTATTTATTAATTTTTATTTGTTTATTTGATTGCATTTTGTTGTCGGATGTTTCTGTTTTACATATATTTGAAATAAAACACCTAATTAAAAAAATACATTTAAGTTTGAAATACAGTGATGTGGGCTTGTCAAAGCTTTGCCAGCAGAGTTAATGTTATGTTTCATTGTTTGTTATTTTTTATTCCATGAAGTAGTTTGTTTTCTCATTTTCTGTTAATTCTTCCTTCTATCTTGCATTCACTTTCTATTTTTACCACTCTTTAAACTAAACAATGTGGTGTGTCCTCAGATCATCGGATGTGTGCTGATCTATGGGGCGGTGAAGGCCAGCGCCATCAGCAGTCAGGTAAACAACAACAACAACAACAACAACAACAGTAGTGAATCCACTTCATGTTCCACATTGTTGCATAAAAATGCAGAACACATAAAATCTTGACTATTTGAGTGTTTCAAACAGGAATATATGCTTTTTAAAAATGTAATAAAAGCAACTATAATGAAATTACTATTACACTTCTATCTGTCGCAAGTGTTGGACCATAAATAGTGTCGACAGAAGCTAAACCGGAAGGGTTTGTCTGCCTGGGGACCAAATAATGAATGTGAGCTGCCAGATGAATTCCCTCCTTGTTCTTTATCTCTGTCATGTCAATGGTCGCTGCCAGACATGCATTTACAACTAACCATTACAGGATGTCTGTTTGCAGAACGAGCAGCAGATTTACTGTAATGTGACTCACAGGGTGAACCAGTCAGATTCACATGTGAACAATTAAGAATTTTAGAAGTGTCAGTTTGGGGAAATGCAGAGCGGTTTAAGGAACTGTTTGTGTTCATTACTCTAAAAACTTCTAAAAAAAAGAAAGCGGCTGGTTTGCGTTTGTGAAAATCAAGGCTGTTAATCATGACATCACATGTATAATCCTCTATACAGCACATCTGAATACCTGTTTAGAAATGTTTACAGGACTGTCAGTGTTTCTCTTCATGCAGAACAGATGCAGCTCGTGGGAGGTTTTCCATTCTCACAGTCGACCTTCTCTGAAACAGAGAAACAGGATGGCTCTGAAAATGTTATCAGAAATACTGAAAGCAAAATAACTCCACCTCTTTTTGTGTAATAGAGCAAACACGTTCATTGTTTTTAATAAATGACATTTACTTTCCATTTTTGTTGAATATAGCAACATGCATTCCATCGTCCATTTAAAAGAAATGCAGAATTTAACCTTGCTAATGAGCTGAAAGTTGATACCCATATCTGTATAGTATTGATCCTTATAAAAAAAAAAACTATACTTGTGTCTGGAAAATACATTAAAAAAACTGGGGTCCTTTTATGTTAAAAAAAAATGAAATTTTGCATTTTATTGCAATTTTCTTTATTTTTCTCTCACCAAAAATGTAATTATTAGTAATGACCAAGAAAACCTTTACACGTCACACGATTTTTGAAACCTCTCACTCAAAGAGCAAAACCTCACCTCAAATCTCCAAAATCATTAGCCATTTCTCAGCCTTTCATGTTCAGTTTTCATGCGCATTTCATTTTTTCAAAACACTGCACACAATTCTGTACCTAAGACACAAAAATCTAACAGGAAGTGATCTGCTGTCTTTTTCCAAACAATCAATGAAAATGCTTTTCACCAGGTCACACGTGCAAGCACTAACTGCTTAACTGATCACTAACCAGTCACTGCTTTAGTCTACAGCTGACCTAAACATAGGTCAAAGGTCAGATTACCTGTTGAACAATGGATGCCAACAATGGACAGAGAGCAAGGGGAGGGAGAGGCAGGGGGCGACAACGTGGGCAAGTTCAAGGAGGAAGAGGACTAGGGCAAAGAAGAAAAGGAAGGAGAGCCATCATTGTTGCCCAACTTGAGTTGCTTTACAGCGGCGTCCATAATTTGAACCTTCAGAAATTAGAACAGGTCGCAACAATCTTGTGGTTATTTCAGCAGTACAGTCTTGTACAATAAGTATTCATTTTTGGCAATAAAAGTAAAAATTATACTTTTGGTTTACATATGTTTATGGTTTCCTTTTCCTGTATGCTACTGTACACAACACCGTGCTGCTGTTACAACTGTAATGTTTTGCCAGGTAAATATGTGCTGTTTCAGAATTGCCGTGGTGTTTGTAGTGTAATTTTCAGCACCTCTCAGCAGATTACTTTCACTCTAGAACATCGTATGGAAATGTACACATAAGCCTTTGAAAGACAAAAGAGCTTTAGATTTAGAATCACAGTGTGTGAATAGTGTGTCCAATAATTTACTATTTTGACAAAACATTTTTGCCATCTGATGCCAATGCTTCATTTTGAGATGTGTTTACGGCATTTTGAAGGCAGTGTTTCATTTTGAAGGAGATGTGAGGCATTTTGTATGAGCAGTTTTGGGAGTTTTGACGAAAGGAGACATAGTTTTGAAAACGTGTAAGCAGTTGTAAAAAACTGTAAAGTCTCCTTTGAAGCAGTGAACATTGGATGGATATCTCCGTTACATTCTTATCTGTCTATTAAAAGCTGCATTACTAATATAGTGTTTTGGATCATAGCCTTTATTTAAATGGTGTTCCAACTAGATCTTCAACATGTACCAGGTTTTAGAGGGGAAGTACTGAGTGATGCAGAGTCATACATTTTTATTTTTTTCATGGGATTTATTGACAATAAAATATTTTCAGTCATCATTTAAGTGTTTACTCAGTGCTTGTGTCATTGTCCTGTCATGGCGTAACAGGTGTCGGCGGCTGGGGTCCCGAGTCTGGCATGGATATGGGTGTTTGCCATCGGCGTCCTCGGCGTCTCCAGCCTGGGAATCTATGCAGGCTGCTCCGAGAAAGACCTCGCCCTCAAAATAGTACGTAGCCCATGTCAAAAAGAGACAGAACTCAGAGGAAGAATCAACGTGATGTTTTTATTTGCTCACTCTAATCAACAAAACAAAAAATGTGTCATCTTATCTTTGAATATTGTTTCGTGTACAGTTTGCAGGCTTCATGGGGGTTGGAATGATCATCATGCTGATCTTTGGCATCGTTGTCGTTGTCATGAGGAACAAGGTCATCCATCTATCCGCCCATAAATGACAGTGTTTGATTTCTGTCAATCTGTTTCTGTATCTATCATCTATGATCTCCATGTTCTGTTATGTTGATGCTATTCTTACCCAGTCTGTCTACCTGTCTCACTTAAAGCTTTGCCTTTGTTAATAATCTCTCTGCATCTTAATGATAATTCCAGCTGTGTCCAAAATCTCTCCCTTGTGTTTCTAAAGGCTTGGTGACCATAGCATGTACATTATTTCTTCCTACACTATCTGTTGCTTTGCCTTTCATAAATGTGAAAATTACAGTCAAACACCAACTAGTTATAGCTTAAAATTTGTTTAAATTCCCATCTCTACATAGTAAATAATAATCGCAAATAAATCAGACAGCAGATGTTTACGATTACGCCAATATTCTCTATATTTTGATGTTATTTTTTTGTGCTCTCTCCATCTTGACTCTGATGTTGCTACCATTAGTTACTCCCTCTCATATAATTATCTTATAATGTATCCAAATTCACTCTGTTTTTTAGTGCAGATAGAAATTTTGGAAACAGTATCTGCTCTTCTCTCTCTCGTCTATCTACCATGATCCTACCTTTGTTTCCTCTCTATCTTGATTCTAATGTTTTCTGTTTCAATCCCAATACTTACATTTCCTCTCTTTTCTTTACATCTATCTTGATGCTGATGTTGTTCTTTCTCTTCTTGTAGGTGAAGAACTTCTTTGACAGCATGTCCACTGAGTTGGCAAAGCCCTACATGGAAGACGAAGGACTGAGAATGCTGCTTGAGGGGATCCAGCAATCTGTAATGTGTACTATTAACCCTTATGAGTGTAATCTAGCTAGACTGAAAAATACTTTGTAGGCTCTTCTAGGATAAATGCTTACCAGTGGATGGATGAGGTATTTCTCTTAAGTACACAGACAACCTTCATATAATCACATTTTTACACTTGAGAGTTTTGCGTTGCAGATTATGACAGTCAAAATGATAGCAGCTAAAACAAACAAACAAACAAAAAAACAGGGCACACTTTGAAAAACCCTCAAGGAGGTTCAACAATCCTTATTGTAAATTTTACACAAACTTTTTTCAAATATGGTCATAAAACAGGTGAAATTGAAAAATAAAGCCCTTCTCAAAAAATCTCTACAGTTGAGCTAAATAAAACCATGTCTTGGTTTTAAAACTACATGAGATTTTCAGTATTTATAATTAACTGATTATGTCTTGCATTATGTTCTTTCTTTCAGTGAATATTGATATCCTTTATCAATTCAGTTTCAGTTGAAACTCACACTCTCTTGTGGTTGTAGGGCCAGTGCTGCGGAGTGGTGAGTGAACAGGACTGGGGTAATGAAATCCCTCAATCCTGTGAGTGCAACTCAAATGGACTATTTGGATCTGGATGTAAAGCCAAACCCCAGGTTGGTTTTGTAAAATAATATCAGGTTTAGAATATATACTGTATATCAGATGGGGGCTCCAAAGGCTGAGTGAAAACAATCTTACATTGAACATTGCATTAGTTATTAAAAGGAGAATAGGCTGAATGTGTGTGATTTAGTTAGAGATACTTCAGAGATACAGTAGTTTTTAAACTTTCCCCCAGCGTCTATTTCAAGTTCTATGTAAAATCAGACATTAACCCCCCTCAAACAGCCAAAAAGGCATGATCTTCATTTCGTAACGCCTCTGCAAAGATTCGACTGCGAGACTGACTGTTGAATCGGGCTCCTTCTGTCGAAACGTCGAATCTTCAACGATTGAGGGTCACCCCTACTATGATGATCATATTTTGCTCTTGTTTTCTTGCAGGGAACCATGGGCCCAAGCCAAATCTATAAACAGGTATTCAATCATTCAACCAAACAAAACACCATCCAATTTACGAGTTAGTGATGTTAATGCCCCTTTCTCCATCTCTTCTTCTGCAGTCCTGCAGTGACTACATCTTTGGGTGGTTCAACTTCTTCTTTCAGATAGTCATGGGCTTCTTCTTTGGATTTGCTGTCACTGCCGTAAGCGCCACTGTTACTCTCCTTCGTTGTTGTTTTGTCGTGTTCTATGACTGCATCGTTTATTAAGCTCCAGCAATTGTTCAAGATCCATAATCACTGTGGGTATATCTAAAGCTTCAGTGGAGGGAAAATAAACCACAGACCTATATTTGGTAATATAGAGTTTCAATGTGTGAGCAGGAATTTCCAGCGAATAAAATTAATGATGATCAAGCCTGTGTAATTAAAAAAAAGTCAACTATGAGTCTCAAAATGCATTTTGGTAGGAACCACCATCAGTTGACTTTAACTTTTGTTTTTCCCGTTGCTGGTAGTGAAATTATAGTTGACAGTACTCCACATGTTTATCAGCTCACCCCTGCCAGCTGTTGGCCTCTAGTCAGTGAGATATTTGCTTGATTGATATCTTTCACTACTGTTGGGATTTCAAGGTGTGTGACAGCTGGTCTACTGTACCTGTATGTCTTTCTAACTGACTACCTGTCTTTCTAGCTGCTGGGCCTGCTGATCTCCATCCTGATGATCCATCAGGTCAAACGTCATGACAGAACAGGAGGAGCAAACATTGCCATGAAGGGATACTGAAGGGAACCCTCCACCCCTGACCTTTAACTTCTGCACTGTGACAGGAGAACTCAGTGGTCAATACATGATATCTTCTTTATATATCATTTTTTTAAAACCACATTTCTGCCTTATATGAGAGTCAGGGAAAAGGCACGATGTGGCATGCTGCAGGAAGATTTCATTTCAGGAGTAGAAGTGTTGCCTCACAGCCTTTTTTCTGTCAGATTTCTATTGTAGAAAATATAGCAAACATTTATTTTTTTTATGAATCTCTTGTGTGTTATTTGATGGTATGCTGCATGCCGTCTTTTCTATAATATTTCTCTGTTATATAAGTCTACTATAACAAAGTATTATAGCAGAAATATTATATAACAGAGGCAGGTTCTAAGCTCAGCCTTTACCTCTGACTACAGTTCTACTAACCTACAAGGAGGTCATTGGTGTTGATAGTTTGGTGATGTAGTGAGTGCTTGTAGGGCTACTTGGCAAAGTAGTGGAGCTGGCAAGCTAATTGCTAACACACAAGGCAGCAAGGAGCATGCTAGTGCTAATCTGTCATCATAGTTATTCCAGCTAAATGTCTGGCTTGCCATATGTGTCCTTTCACTTTAAGATTACCAGATTAGCATGCAAGCTAACTGCCTCACTAACTGGCCAATTAGTTCACACAGGTTTTTCAAAAGATATTTGTACCACAGACTCTTGTACCACAAACAAACATTATGGAGCAGTTTAGATTCTAGCAAAGGAAGTTAAATGAATAAGCAAAAAGGATGGCTGCCACTGAAAAGCTCAGAACTGTCCAAACACAACAGCACACATTTGCACATAAAAGGTGACCAAAGATAGGTTTGACGGAAGATATGTGCGTGGATTTATTCCGTCCCCATGAGCAACTCCCCTAATCGCAGTCGTTTATTTTGCTGCAAAATATTGGTTAATATTAGTGTGTCCATCACAGAGGTGGGTCCAGGACTTGTTTAGCCTAGTTTAGCATAGAGAGGCGGGAGCTGATGGGGGAACTTCTAGCCAAGCTTTAATTGGCAATGGGACAATTACTGTAATCCAATCATAATCTGCACTGAAAACTTTTCCAGATTTGATGGCACTTAGAATTTCTGAGGTCTGAGGACTCTTCAAAACTATGATTGCATGTGAACATTTAAAAACATGTCATAAGAAAACTGTCACCTGTTAGTGTTTGTAGAACATTTAGGACAATGAACTTGCATATTTTCCAAAGCTGCGTGCGTGTATTTGTAAAACACTTCAGTCATTTGAAAACAGAACACTCCTCTGGACATTTTGTCATATGGTTGAATGTCATAACCTGATGTAACATTGTCAATATAAGTAAATAAGTAATATTGTTTTTTTTCTTGTAACAAGCAGGTAACACAAATTAGAGGCAGATATTAGATATTAGATGTGTTATCTGTCTCAGTACAGTTGTTACATAGAAGCCACTAGAAAAATGAGATTACAAAACTTTCAGAGTTTAATTTAGGATTAAGCCATGTAACAAACCAAACAACAGCTCAGGGTTACAAGCTTTCAGATCTGCCACAGAGAGTGAACGCCACACTGCCATTAAAAAAGGGGAACAAAGACTTATGTTATAGACAAATGCTGTAACAGGAACTGTGTTATTGTGAAATCTGCACTCATATCATTTCAAAATAAACTCTAGAGACTGAAAACAAAGTCTCCTTTTCTTGTGTTTGAATGTGATAGGTAGGATTTAAGGCAAGGCAAGATTTTAGATTGGCGCCCCCTGTGCCCAACCCTAAAAGGTCTGTAACATTACCCACCGCAGGGGTCAAGGGTCATCCTCCTCATTCCTTAGGAAATGTTTAAAGAGGTTTAACAGTCAAATTCAGAATTTTAAAGCATGTATAGATGCAAAGCCAAGTCACTAATAAAGTGTGATCAGCATACTTGTCATCCTGCACGTCATAGCCTAAATTGGGAGACCAGACCCGACCTGGTATCTGGGAATGTTGTTCCCCAGTGTGTCAACCCAGACTGTTTTCTGATGTCTTTTTTATTTTTTTAAAATTTTTTTATCTAAGCGCATTAATTTTTGTTTCAACAGTGGAGGGAACACAAATGAAGGACAGGTCTGGGGGTCCTCCGAAAGTTTGTCTCTGCCAGTCTTACTAGGGTAGGGTGGCTCTGTCTGTGAGAAAGAGTGCATTAAATTCTCTTTTCAGATTAAAAATAAGGAAATGTATAAAATCAGAAGCAGATAGTGTGTAACATAACGTTGTGACTGTTCTGGCCAGCTGGCTGTTGAAACAGGTTCCCTCCTCTATGACCAATAACCAGCTGCTGGAGACTTGACAAGCAGAAACATAAAAACATCATGTTGATCAGAGTATTAAAACATTTAGAACAGATAAAAAAAAGGGATACATTTGCGATTAAATATTTGAATCGGTCGACAGCCCTACTTTATTTATATAAAGGGAAACACTAAATTCAGGGTCATCCATCCACACTGGTACACACTGGACAGGTCGCCAGTCCATCGCAGGGTCACACATAGACAAACAACAACAACCAAGTACAATTTTGAGCCACCAATTAACCTAGTCCACATGTCTTTGGACAGCCGGAGCACCCGGAGAGAACCCAACACTGAACAAAACACTGAAATGCATCTTTGGCAGTGGAAACCTGACGCTATAGCCACTCTGCAGGCTGAAGAGGAATTCGCTCTTTAGAAGATTCAGTGAGTTGTTCACCGTACCTTTTGTGTGCATGGATGATTAATCGTTAACTGAGATCAATCTGATAAGACTTAAATCAGCTTAGAGGCGTTCCTATCTCTGTAATAGGATATGATGGTCAATGGTATCAAATGCAACGCTATGATCTAACAAGACAAGTAAGGAGGCAAGTTCTTTGTCTGATGTAAAATACCAACCTGAACCCTCCCTCACCTCTGACCCCTCACGCCAAAAGCAAGGCATCTGGGTTTTCTGGCATCATCAGGTAGGCAAGAACCACGTGGGAGGTTTTCAGGCATAAGTTTTTGGAGGGGGTCTACAATTTGAGATGTTGAGTACGTTAGACCTTGAGGCCCTAAGTGGTTGCTTGCCTTGCCTGTCAATAAAATTCACTTCAGCTCCAGAGACAACATGCCCATCATCAGTGATCACGTTTTCAATGGTATTTTAAACTGGGTCGTCAGACTGGCGTATACATTTCTTTCTTCAACAGATATTTGAAAACTTCATCCCGTCTTGATGTTTGTGATATTTGTTTTAGAAAATCAGTGCCAGTGAATCCAGCAGCCATACCAAAAGCTCAGAACTACTGAGAGAAAAGCTTGAAGGACAAATGGCTGCTGGTTGTGATTAAATGTTTGCTTCTTTGTGGACTTTGTGTGATATTTATTTGTAGTTTCATCCTGCAGCCACAAGATGACAGTAATGATATTAATTAATTACCCACCCTACCAAGATATCATTACCGGAATAAAAGGGTTAGGACAACTATTTTATTAAGTAAAACCTGTTGGTTTAAGTAAAACCTGTTGTTAATCCAGGTGTACAGACCGTAGTGGTCTGGTCTGCTTCTCAAAAGAGAAGCCTTCTCAATAATTCCAGATTCTGGTTTCTGTTTTCTACATGTTGCAGTCATACAGTATGTTCCATAGGTTCCAGTAACCGGTTTTAATGGTTTCTGTAGCACACTCTACAGGTATAAGAAGCTAACTTTCAGAACAAGCAATGGTGGAAGAAGAACAGCTTCTATTGAAGTACAAAAACAACAATGTAAAAGTAAAAAAATTTCCTATAGCAAAAAGTACCTAAGTATCAAAAGTAAAAGTATTCATTATGCAGCAATGTGGCCTCTGACTGATATATTATAATGATATTTTTGGATTGTTAATATTGATGCATCAGTGTAAGTTTCTCTAATCCTTGCTGCTTTCAAACATAATTTTACCTCTTAAACAGGCTTTTAACAGCCGCCCATACAAGCTAAAAATGTTGGGAAGCTTTGTAAGCTTAAGTTTTTATTTAAAATGCAAATCAAATAGTAACTACAATGCTCATCTAAGAGTCAGAACAACAGCGGTTGGCTACAGAGTTAAGTTGTATAGTTTACAGGCAGCTCTGAAGTGTTGGGATGTAAGCTATTTTTTTTTTAGGGTGGGATTTCCTGTTCTGAATGGGCACTGGGTTGTGCAACACCAGAGGATACTAACATCATGTTTCATACTACTTCTTTTGAAATCTGCCACTTTTCCCCCCCTTTTACTCACCCTTTCTATAATCCACTCTAGGGCATGAGGTTAGAAAGTGCAGCTCTGTCTATACCTGTCCTGTGTCACACTGGGAGCAGAGTCTCTCCTTTTGTGGTAGCCAGCTCTGTCTGTGGCCCTTTTCTATGGCCAGGCTATGTTCACTCAGTCTGGATGTTGTCAACATTTTTCTTAGTTTAGGACATTTTATTGTGCTCAGGTAGTTTGCCAGTGTGAATTCTCTTTTTAGGGTCAGATAACATTGGAATTTACTTTGTGTTTTGGTCGTTTCTTTCCAGTATTCAGTATATTTTTCTTTTTGCTTGTTGATGATTTGGTTTGGTCTGCTTGAGCTGGTGTTGCTGTCCTGAGGCTGTTGTGGGCTTTTTACTGCTGAGAGCCTCAGGACCAGCTGGCTGAGGGGACTCTTCTCTGGTTTCAGCTCCTGGTATGTTAGGGCTTTGTGATGGTATGTCTGGGGGTTAACTGATTTTAAGTGACTGTAAAATTGAATTGATCTTTTCTGTATTTTTAGTAAGAGGGGTTATTGGCCGAGGTCTGTACAGATTATCTGGTGTTTTTCTCTGCACCTGCAGGATGCTCTGACAGAACTCAGTATGGAAAGATTCTATGATTGTTTTGTCCCATTTGTCAACTTCATTATTAAGTTTTGGCCCCCAAATTTCACTGCCATATAGAATTATTGGTTCTAGAACAAATTGGAAATTTTAAGCCAGATTTCAATTGGAATATAGCTTTTAATGTTTCTTTTTATTGCATAGAAAGCTCTCCTTGCCACTTGCAGGCAGAACCGGATTAAGAATTTAGAGGCCCCTGGGAACAATGTCTTGTATGTAGCTAGATTATGTATACTCACAGTGTATAGGGGCCTTTAATGTGGTACAGATTTTGCTCTTTGGTGGTTTACAGAGAATCATATGTACAAATATTACAACGTAAATCCGTCATATCTTAATTTCCGGTTGAGCATTTATACCCCGTTTAAACCTGACATTAGCATGCAATCTGTATCTGGATACATTATCTGGCTAAGGAAAAAAACGTGCGTACATTCAGGTGTAAATGCATGCAGAACGTGTTGGGCCAGGTGTACGTCACCAAACTCCACCTCTTCCAGCTAATTGACGCAAGTCCAAGGCCCAATCCCAATGTCCACACTCACAGATTTTGAGGCGCGTTCCCGGGAAGTCCTTGAGGGCTTAGGGCTGTCCCACCGTCAAGGGCTCTCTCGCTGACATTTTGAGCCCTTTTTTGAGCCACATTTCTGCAGACTTTACCTGAAGGAATTGCCCACATTTCATTGTGATGTGATGTGAAACACAGGGGTTACCAGAAGCGTGAGAAAAATCACAGCAAATATGCCTTTTAAGAGAAAGAAGAAGAAGAAGAAGAAGAAGAAGGGTAAACAAACAAGTATGGAAACCAATCTGATGCTAAAACGGTTCAAATCATTTTACATAGATTTAAGATGGTGCATAGAACACATGAAGTCGGAGGAATGCAATCACCTTATTACACACCTATTTTATTCAACTATTTATTTGAGTTCTTTCTTGATGATGCTGTTTTGACCAACAATAGTGCATTGATTATTGACAAATGTAGATTGACATTTACCTCTTGTCCGCTCTGTAGGTCAAGAACCTGCAAGGACTTTGAAAATCAGGCAAATACATAAAATAAAAAGTGTGCAACATGTTTCAGCATCTTCGAGGTAATGTGAAAATGTGGCAAAGTGCAATTAAGTCTGTGAGGGTTCAGGGCTTAAGGTTTAGGTGGGATAGGGCCCAGCAAGTCTTGCTTTATCAACAAGTTGGACCTGAGTAACTAATTGAGATCCGACAGTAATGTGAGCAAAGTCAAGATAATTGCAACAAGTTTTAATACCAGGTGTAAATGCAGAGACTTATGGATTGGATGTCCTTATCCAGATGTGGATCACATGTTAATACCAGGTGTAAATGGGGCTTGAAGAAGAGGAAACAAGAGTAGAAAAGAAAGTTAAAACTACAAATCTAACAACGGACATTTTATGGCAGAAGAAGTATTTTTATCTTTTGATGCTTTATGTACATTTTACTGATGATATTTCTGTACTTTCACTTCAAGTAAGATTCTGCATGGAGTATTTTTAGTAAAATATCTGAGTACTTCTTCCACCACTGTAAATTGCAGTTGGCAACTTTAGGATCCATAACATGTGTAAAAACCATCTTGTTTGGTCTCTTTTAAAATATAATAAATCTCACATGGGAAGGAAAAAAAAAATCTTTCCCTGCTTCCCCCCAAAAGCCAGACTTAACCTCCCTTCTACAAAAAGCTAAATGTGCCCCTTTCTAAAAATGTTCACATAGTCCGTTGAGATTTAGTGATTTCTCTGTTGAAAGTGTTGTAACATGTGTGTTGATTTTATTGCATAACAAG